AAGCCCTGCTAAAATTCTTGATGGACACTGTCAATGAAAGGAATTCAACAGTGGATTTTGTTATGCCCACACAGTATATTTTCAGTAATACGCAATCTTCCTGCTCCAGAAGTGAGATTTTATTTGTGTGTGCAGTACATTTATAAGTCCCCCCGCTCTTCGCAGTATTGGCAGGGTAAGATGAAAGCTTTTCACATTTCAAGCAGTGACTCAAATGTTCCCTGTGCAGATATAATCCAAAATGTAGGTCAATTTAATTTGTCTTACAACACATTGGATCACAGTAAAATGTACAGCTGATATGGGGCCTTTGGTTCACTTACACATGTGCCTCATTTCTATGAGCTTCTGATTAAAGTCCTCATGGATAATCTTGACTGACATCAAACTGTTTCCACACATTGTTTCATGTGAGCGCTGGCCACGCTCAAAATAAGAACGGGCAAACCGATGCTGAATGGCTGCACATGGCTCCCATTCAAACTCAATCACATTGGCTTGCGTTGGATCAAACCCTGAAACAAATGTGCTTGCATACAATTGTTGACCTACTTAAAAGATTTGTCCCTATGCAAATGGCACCTGCATCGGTCTGGGAGGACGATCGACAATTTGGCACAGCTACGTTTCAGATGAACTGATATTCCACACGATAGGAATGTGCTAACTCTCTCAGAGCTCCACACAGCTGCTGACCTGGTGGGGCATTTGAGGATCTTCTGGTGTGAACTTTCTTTGTTGGGGTGACTCATGAACGCATTTAGGTTCTTGATGTCCAGGTTCCCATAGGGATAGCTGTCATAAGACACACTCACACACCACAGAAGGAGATCTATACAGGCGGAAAATAAGCAGTGTGTAGCCAGAGGGTGAACGCCTTCATAAAGATGATATTGCCTCAGCGAGCTTGTCACTATGGGTGACTGTAGTGCGATATTGCATATAAATCTATGTCCAGAGAAAGAATCTCATTACATCTCATGTCTCATCTCTTTTTGTTCATTGGATCTTCATACGCGAAAGCTGTTGAGGCACAAGTTGATCATAGAATGCTGAGAGAAGAATGCAGGGTGAATAACCATCATTTTTACATGCTACATGTGAGAGTGATCTGTGTTGTCGATGGTCATACGAATAAAAGCAGCTCTGGAGTGTTAACTGAGCAGAGTGTGGGCTGAGGATTGCCGGCTGATTTGGCGTGAGCTGATATTCCAACCAGCGAGGTCAGGAGGCTTAACGGTCGCCCTTTCTCTCTTTAGCACAGAGCCAGGAAGCTGTGCAATGCCTCCTACACAGTTTGGGAAGGAATTAAAGCATTGCAGTCCTCATAAAGACCCAAAGCAGGAAGGCAACGCTCAGCGGGCCGCCGCTGATCGTCAGCCGAATATCTGGAGGTGCACTCAAACTGCAGCAGCTAGTTGCTGCAACTCTCAGCGCAGTATGAACGAACAGGATTCCACACGAGTCCTGCAGCATTCTGCACAGACTGCTGCCACCAGATCAGCCTGATCGAGACCGTAATATCTATGTAGTGTCAAAGTGTCAACATTTTGTTTATTAATTCCATTTAAAGGACTAGGCTTACAAAAAAAAAAAACTTGGTGCTACTTGAAAAGATTGAATTTCGCAAAGACTTACCTCAGGCGCCGACTAGTTTGATTATACTGTATACCGCCAGGGTGTAATTACAGCAAGTAGCTTCTACTGATGATCTGTGATGACTTCTGATGTTGCTTCATCTTATTACTGCACTTGGAATATGTCACTCCTTGTTTGCAAATGGTGGGTTGTCTAAGCACAGCAGGGATCCTCACTTTCAGTAAGCGACAAGATATTCTTAGAGCCAGACTTGAGCTTCAAGTGGGGGGAAAAAGAAAAGCGGCATTCAAAACGGAATGATAAAAAATCGAATGTGATTTTTAAACTTTGGGTTTATCAAAGAGTTGCATTGGTCTGTTTGGGAAAGCATCTCAGCCGTGTTATTAGTTTTGTGATCGATGTGCACAAAGCTTTTATCTTGGCCCGGTACAAACCTCATCAGCGGCTGGCTCTGTTTTTATTTATTTAACGCGTGGTCCTCACAGTATTATGGATCCTCTTGATTCACCATTCGGGATGAAGTCTCCTAAGACGACCTTGGCTTCTTTTTTTCTTTTTACAAACACTAATTGATATAAAAGCCATATTGCCGAAGAACTTTTGGGATATATTCCTCCACCAAGGCCAGTATCCAATTTTAGAGAAAAATGATCAGATCTGAGCAAAGCCTGCTTGTTTGTTTGTTTTTGCGTGCCTCTTCTCTGTGGCATTGCATTAAATTCTTCTTTGTAGTGTCTGTTTTCTTGCAGGCAGTCAAACGTAACTGAGAGCATAGATGTGCTTCTGCTCGCGCCTTGAGGATTTCATAAATCAAACATCAGATTACATTGTTGCATTAAAGCGATGCCGGTTAAGACGAGGAAACACCTTGACACCTTAGATAAACTTTGATGCTTATCCTTTGTAGCTCTTTTCTTCTGTCCCCTGGCATCTTGTCAACATCCGGTTCGTTCGGATTGCTAGTGGAAGTTTCTGGCCAGGAACAGGTTACTAATTGCTCCTCGTAGATTATGAAATTCAATCTTTTAAAAGCCCCCAGGATTTTGAAATGAGCAGTGGGGCTCTGTCATCACAGTTGTACAAATCTGATTCAGAAGTCTGAATACGTTTTTAATTACACTCTAAATACATAAAAAGTGTAAAAGAGAAATTTATGTATTTATGTTTATAGCATTGAATTGCTTAAATGAAAAGTTTGAAGATATAGTTACAGAACACAAGAAGCACAAACGTAGCTAAAAGGAAATGTGTCAAAATGCTTGTTTTCGAAAATCCCCAAAGTGTGACAGGTGGGAAAGCCACAAAAGAAATAGTCCAGCTACGAGGATCATTTTTAACTCGGCGTCTTATCACATGCTGTTACTAAGAAGTAGAAAATTCAAACAGGCAGTTAACGGGAAGTTAATCATTACCATGTCAACTATATTATCTTTTTTTATCTGATCGCTCTGAAACAGAGCTGGTTACATATTGGCCAACGTGCACGAGATGACATGTGAACGCTTAACAGAGGCCTAGCAGACAAGAAAAGTCATCAAATGATGATGCATGAGCTGACATGGTCAGTGACATGTTTATAGCCGGTGTTGTGAGCTTCTTTTACAATTTTGTTAGATATCCTGTTAATTTTCATCTTTGGGCTCATGTTCTTCCATCACAAACTTGTTTGTTCCTTTCTCTTTTGAAGTCCAGCCTCCATCAAGTGCTCCCAACATCAGCTTTGATAATGAGCAGTACAAGTGGAAATAGTTCAATGATAACAGGGGGTTTAGGGACACTGTTCGGTTAGATGCAAGCTAACTTAGATAGTGGCAAAACAAAAGAGAGGGAGCATATCTTTGGAATTCATGGAAAAGGCCATGAAGGGGACACTGTGTTGTTCATACACACAGATAAACAGGATGAAGGGCATAGCTGGACACTGACGTTACTATTGATCAATGTCAGGCACTGAGCTATAAATTCTCCCTAGGTTAGAAATGAAATCAATAGGTAATTAGTCTCTCGTCGAAATCCCCCCACCCCACCCCACCCTTGTCTTTGTTGGCTGGTCAAGCGCTATCTGATGCCCCTCTGTTCCCTGTCTGTAGCCGTCACTAAGGTAGACACAACTGACACTGCGTTAAAGCTCAGACGGAAGCTTCAACTTCCCTAAAAATGACCTCAAAGGTAACGATTATTAAAAGGGTGAGGAAACCTAAGCAGCAGGAGTCAGAGAAGATAAAGGAGATTCATGTTTTTTTGTTTTGTTTCATCTTTTATTTTCCACCCACATCCAGGTGTGCACAACAGCTGCTAGCTTTTCAGTTTTCCCTTTTATTCATGTCTTTTAATTGGATTACTCATTTTCTAATGTGAGCGTCAGGTTATTTTTGCCCAGTCAGATGTAAATCAGGTAATATTGGCAAATCCAGCTTCAAAATTCTAAAAACTGTTTTCCTTTTTTTTAAAGTTCAAAACCATTAAGATCGGGGGTCTCAAACTCCATTACAGATCTAATAGATCTATTTTAAAGGGTTAAGTTCTGCCAGTGGTGCATTGATTTGATTCAGATGTGTCGAAGCAGGGAAACGTCTAAAACCTGCAGGACAGCGGCCGTTGAGGACCAAAGTTTGAGATCTCTGATTTAGATAATCCCCACTTTTAATTTGGTGCCTGTGAAAGCTGCGGGAGCTCTTATTGAACGTTTTTATAAAAGCGCAACAGCCTTGCTGCTGCAAATGTTGTTGTTTTTTTCTTAGATTCTTTGTGATACCACATTAGTTCAACAAATGAACCATCAATTTTGCATTCTTCTGCTTTAGTTTGAGTTTTTGGGCTGTTTGTGTTTGCATATTATGTCCTTTTATTGCTTCTTTGAGGATGACGCACATACTTCATCATTTAAAATGTGCAGCAGCTCCACTTGAGTGATACTTAGGTTCTCACTGGTCTTGTGGATCCATTATTTTCCCTAAACTGCCCTTTTTTGTACATGTTGTGTTCTTCAGGCAGGGAGCCCGACTTCAGTCAACGCTCCATGCAGTTTCTCGAGGACCTCAGTTTCCCCTTCCAGCCAGGACATCTGCAGGTACAAACCACTTCAATCTCAGTTCATGCCAGTTCTGTTGTTTGTGCCCTCTGCTGACTGAGAGCAATGACTCTAGCTATTTATCAGATTCTTCTTCAGTGAGGTGGTTCACTTTTTCCTTTCCACACTGTCACTGTGGAAGGCGCCCTTTGTTGCATTTAAACTGCTGTAAAATGTGTCTCTTAGTAACATGGATAAGCACGTTTTGCAATTATCAGGCTGAACCAAAACCTCCAGAACCCTTTTATCTCCTCTTTTTGTTCAATTTCTCCATTTTAAAACACATTATGTCTTCTCCATTTCTCTTTTTTGTCCCTTCCTGCACGCTCATCTGCTGTCCTTTGCCTCTGTCGTCTGTCACGTCGTCCTCTTTCATAAACGCACACGCTCACACTTCCACACCAGCAGCCAGGATCAGGAAGTTCACAAGCAGACCGCAGTTGTTCTGCTGAGCTCTAATGGTAAAAGTTGTCAAGGTTCAGGATGTGTTTCGGTGACCACCCTCTGCGCAGACACCCCGCCGGCCTCCAAGCAAAACAAACACCGGGACTGGCTGTCCCTGCTCCGCCCGGCCTCTGTCAGCAGGCGGCCCAACAGCTCGCTCAGGTTCTCCCTGTCTCTGAATGACGTGGGCCAGCGCGTGGACAGCCTTTGCCGCGGCCTGCACTTCATAGATCGCACGTGCTCTGAAGGGGAGCTGGATGTGAAGCCCGAGCCCGCCGGGTGCCCTGGCTCTGGCCACATGGCCCACACACTCGACGGCAAACTTGCCCCGGCCCCAGCCCACCAGATCCCAAAGCCCCCCCTCTCGACACGCACCAACCCTCACCTCGTCCCCTCCTTCACCAACAATTACAAATACATGTTGGGCTTCACCCCGTCCAGTAATCTATCATCCGAACCTCCCGCCATCACCCCTCCTTCTCCCAACGTTCACCTCCAGCCCCCCCCCACCCCGGGCTCCAACTTCCTCCGTCTCCTCCTCCCCTTCTCTCGCTCCTCTACCTCAGCCAGCCTGCAGTGCTCTGAGCTGGGCAGCTATGCCTCCCATCTCCACATCACCAAGTCCTCTAGTGGCCTGCTAGAAGGCACAGAGTCAGGGTTTCCCTCCCAAGACCCACTGGGAGATGACGACGTCTTTGAAGCCGATCGGCCCAGATCGGCTCAGAGGGGAACAGGCCAGCTTGCGTCCCCAGGAGCGGTCACTGTGGCCCGGCCGGGTGCTCTTCTAGCCCCTCTGTGCTATATGGATGAGGACAGTGACCTGGAATGCTGTTCATCCCCCTTATCAGAGAAAACAGGGCCACTCTCGCCCTTTTCCCTATCCGGGGACTGCTGCAGGTGGGTGACTGTCTGGATGGTGTGATCCACACCCACCCTTCCTGTGATGTGTGCATTTAATGTAGCAGTAAACCCCTCGAAGCTTAGCGGAGTAGTGGAGAGCTCCTCACCCCCATAGTCTCTAAATCCTGTCTCAAAATGGAGCTGTTAGTCAGAAGAACTTGACATAGATCTACACACGTCTCATCTTTGTCCACTTCCTCCCCAGATGTTCCGATTTAAGCCCATGTGTCTGTCTAGGGCAAAGTTGTGAAGTGATATTGTTTCATTCCATTTAATTTCTCAGGGCCCTGCCGTGATCGCACTGTCGAGCCGTGTTTTTTAAATAATTTTTCATTCATAATACATCAATGATGCAGTACAGAGTCGTATATGGGCAGCACAGAATTGTGATTGATTTTGTTCATAAGCTCAGAGCTCTGCTGTGGGAACAGGGGCCACAGCGATGTTGAGAAAATAGATAGAGGGGAAGAGGTTAGGCTAGAAAATGTAATAGTTCTGAGGAGTGGACTGTGTCACGTCTGGGGAAACGGCGGGACGCCAGCAGAGAGCGGTCCGTAAATTGAACAGGTATCCGTCTGGTTCAGAATAGCAAGCCGTGTGCCGTCTTGTTGTTTAATCCAGACGCCATTGGAGGGGGCAAATTGTTTGTAGTATTTCATTACAGATCAGGTCATGACTGCATGACCTCCACTGATGAGGCTTACCAGCCGTAGATCAGCTGCCAACAACAGGAATTCTGAGCATCACATTGTGCCCTTTAGAGTTCTGGTATTGATATGCCAATATGTCCGCTGCAGATCTCTGAATTGCTAAGTTTTTCACACAGTTCCATAAATCTGTTACGCAGGCCACCATGTGGTGTGGGTTCATGCAAAGGTTTTAAATACATACTGTATGCTCACCTTTAGGGCGGTGCTGAAACCCAGGCTTCAAATCACCAAGGTGTGTCCGAGATCAGATTATTGGCTTCAGAGAGTCTCAAAACCTACACACACACACACACGCGCGAACACGTGCTGTCTCTCAGTCAGGTGGCCTGAAGTGTGAGCTCAGACCTGAGGCTGCCCTTACCGGTACGAGTGTGTGGGAGGGTGTTTTCCACAGTAGCACGGCAGCAGGGCTGATAATTAACCAGCTCTTTTATTGACAACACATCGCAAAGTCACGGCTGGAAGTCTGATAAGAATTTACTTTTCTCATCAGGATTGTAAGCGTTCAAAACAGCCAAGGGTTTCTTAACATATCACATTAACAGATTAAGTTTGCTCCATTAGAAAATGTTTAAATTAAATCATTCCATGATTTGGCTGATGTTTCAAACTGTCCTGGCATGGCTATGTTACTGAAAAGTAAAAGAAGGTCAAAATGTGTATCACCTACAACATTTGGGTCATTTCATTCACATCACATAAACCTTCCAGTTCACATTCTTTTTTCCAAATCCTTTACCTCTCCTGTGACTCCCCTATAGTCATTGAATGCAGATCTTTGAAAGATTATGTGTGATCTTAATCATCATTTTGATCCCATTAGATTAGGTATACATTTTTTGTAAAGACATATGAAACCCTTAGGATGCTTTTGCATGGTTTGGTTTATACATTAGACGAGCTTTGTAAATTCTCTTTGTTCAGTACAATCTTCAATCCTATCTAGACAAAAATTACTGATTGGTGAAGCTTAGAGGATGGATTAGAAATTATTTTGTTGAGAGCCAACGCTCATGAACGAAAACTAAAAAACTGTATTTGGAAAAGCCTTTTTCTTTTTAAAAATGTTTCAATCAAGAAAGACCTGTGTGGACCTTAGCTTTGGTTGAGTTGACATCAAATGACTTACTAGTTCTTCATCTGATAATCTTCTGTTTTCTCCTCCGGCTAATCCTCTTATAGTTTTAACAGTTTACACACTTGCAAAACAGACCTTTTAACATCTTTACAGGTTAACAAAAAGGGTATTTAAAAAGAAAAGTATGTTCAAGGGACCTTTTTAAAGTATTGCTGTCTAACGTTAGAAAACAGAGTCTGCGATTCTTTTCATCGAGCAATAAATCCACTGAAAATAAATAAATCCAACTTGTCTTGTGAAGACAAGTTGAGCAAAGAAAGAGAAGGGGCACAAAGTTGCAGTGTTGATCCCACTAATTCAATTGTGAGTATCATTGATCGTTGTGTCAGAGTGAGCTTAAACTGAGAACAGCCTCTTTAAACAGCACATCCAGTGAAAGCAGTGTGCAGCACACGTGTGAGCTACAGGAGAAAGGGAGAAGAGGAAGAAAAGCTGTGCTGTTTGGTTTCTGAGCTCGCTCCCCTCTCTGCTTTTAATGCTTGTGATTTCTCTAGTTTTGCTTCTCACTTTTACTGTGAACTTTTTCTTGTATGCTTCGTCATCATAAAGCGACTGAAAGAACGTGTGCTGTGGCTGCTCAGTTCCAGTTTTAACTTCTCATACTTGGCAGTGTTTGGAATATGCTGCTGCAGACACACATTGTCTTCATTTAGCTGCAGTTTGAAATCCAGTTTGTCATTAGCATGTTAATGTCCCAATGCACATTTCTATTTTGAGTGTCTTCATTTTTCAACAGAAAAATCTTCCACTCTTTTTTTATTTATTTTTTATCATTTTAATTCCATTTTTGCTCCATGCTTTTGTGTAAGGATTTTTCCAATTTTCTTTTTTTTTTGTTGTCAATAACATAATCATTTATCAAATCTGTTCATTTGAAATGGCAACAAGTGTTGTTGAAACCCATTCCATCTTTTTTTTTTTTTTTCCATCTTCTGAAATAACTGTACAGTGTTCATGGGATGATAATATACAGTTCATCATCTTGTTATGCGTGAAGACAAACAAAACAGCCTACACATAACCAACAAAAACAGCCTCTGGAGGTGTTAATAGTGCCTCCTCTCCTTTAATCCCCATCTCTTTCCACCTCCTCCTCTATGGGAAATGACCTATTTTTATCCTCCTTTGTTCACTTTGTCTTTTTAATCTTGTAACGCTTTGGCCAGATCAGTGAAGTCTGCAAATAGACTTTATCTCACTCACTCTCTTTCTTGCATGAGGAAGTACATGTGCGTCTTTATGTGATCTTATCCTCTATCTATCCTGGGATAAAGACAATCCCATCTGAACACCTTGCTCCCTTTCTTTTTTTTCACCATCCTCCTCCATGCTTGCTCTCTTGTTCTCTTCAGAGATGTGCCTCTGCAACTTACTAGAAAATACAACTGATGCTTGCCATGCAGTTCATCTGCCTGGGCAAATCTTTAGAGGTGAATTTGCAAAATGGAGTGTTTTGTTTTCCTTCTCCCTTGAACATTTTGTATCCGTTTAAGTCTGATGTATCTGTGATGGCATTTTATGGAACAGCCCAGCTGGATAAACTTGTTTTACAATCTGCACCAGCCAACAGTTCGAAGTTGTCAAGAGTCTTGCATAATCTACATTTCTTGTCTGTAGAAACAAATATACAGATGAGACAGAAAAAAAACACTATCCTTCCTCTTGTCTGGAGAATTGTTAGTCGTTCTTAGTCTTACAAATTGTTCCTCTCACTGAGAGGAAGCCACTGTCTCCTCTTTAGAGATAATAGACACCTAATCGATAGTTCCAGTTGTCAGTGTTTATGTTCAGGAAATCTTACAGAACATTTGGACAGAATCTGAAGGGACTCGGCTCCTCTAAAACCTGTTAAATCCAGTGGGGTTTCAGGATTGGCTGTGTTACTGCTTCAAATACCTGTGTTTGAAAGCTGGAAAAATTCCAGTAGTTACATTTAGTAGATACATTTGTGGATTGCAGCAGTGCAAAAGTACATATACCTTTATATGGACAGATTGTGTAATAGCTCAGTTTAATTACGACAGTAATAGTGTGTTTCTATTTCTTCAGAGCTGTTGAATTACTGGAATCTGAATTGTGGGTTACTTAAAACCTCCAAAACCACAGAAACTGGTCTTTTCAGTTCCCAAATCGTGTTGTTACAAGAGAAGATGATGCAACACACTGACAAGAATTTACAGTTTCCAACCGTTTGGAAACACATTTGCTGCAATCAGTCCAAATTTAGCTCCTATTTATTAAAGGGTTAATCTCTGCAAGTGTAGGATATGTGAGAATATATCATGATGATTGTCCAGTTTTTTACAGTGAGTTTATTAATTGAAAATTATGTTGGCTATCCAGAGTAGGTGTTCAGAATCAAATTAGTCTTCAGTAGCCTCTTCTGCTAATGTGCTCATATATTTTGAAAGGAAATTTTCACTTGCAATGCTTTAAAAAAGCTGTGGAAAGTATGAAGAAAAGTATTTCTTTGCACATCCTTGTAGCAAGTCTTCTTCTTATCAGTCCTGGAGTTACTCTCTGCTGTCTTCTGACTGCCAATAAATCTTCCAGATTTTTTAAATTTGGGAAATGGCCTTCTCAGCTAAATTGTGGTCTTTTTGATCTTTTTTTTGTCTCTCTTGCCATCTTCCTGTTAGAGCTCTCAAGCTCTGAGCTTTGTCTTGACTGTGTTTTCTGGCTCCCGTAGGATTTGTCACTGTGAAGGGGATGACGAGAGTCCTCTAATCACACCATGCCACTGCACGGGGAGCCTGCGCTTTGTCCACCAGGCCTGTCTGCAGCAGTGGATCAAGAGCTCTGACACCCGCTGCTGTGAGCTCTGTAAATACGAGTTCATCATGGAGACAAAGCTCAAACCACTGCGCAAGGTAGGGCACCACAAAAGATGCCAGTGCTCACATTCATTAGTTGACTCGCGCTCAATAGATTCAGGGTCTTGTGGCCGCCCTATCTCCAAGTGTCCTATCTAGTCTCATATCACGTTGTTATGAATCTGCAAATGGAAAAAAGTGTCTTTCATCTACCACACAGATTACACAAGTATGACTCTGGGCTTTTAAATGATTTTCATAAGCGTAACTTGATAAGCAGAGCGGGGATTAACTTTAAATGGTTAAGACTAAGCATACTTCCCTTAAAGGTTCTTATCAATCAGTGGCCCGGAGATAGCCGGACACTCTAATTAAAATTCTCCAACCCCTCATTAGCTGTACAAAAGCCCCAAAACAAATGTTCTTTCTTAATAGCTTCTGAATCCCTCGGGTGAGTTTTGAAGTTGGTTACCACGTATGAGTTCGCAGACTTTCAAGATGAGATGTGTATGTTGGTGCTGGTGTGAGATGTGCATCAAAGAGAGGTTTCATGTCGCGCTCCAAAGAAGATGAAAATAACCCTGCAATTGCACAATTTCCTCAGAGAAATGACGAGTAATTTGTTTGGATGTTGTGAAACCACACAGGTTATTTACAGAAGTGATGTTAATGGTGCTGGCACCGTCTTGTGTGTCGGATATAATGCTGGGCTGGTTTCCTTAATGATGAAAGACTGACAAGGTGCTCCTCAGGGTGCTGCATGCCGCTTTCCTTGCGTAGAATTCTGTTTTAAACAGAGCCGCTCACTGGCCTACATAAGATATTTGTGTTTGGAAAATATTCATCAAATGACCAAAAATGATATGTCTGAAATGTCGTTTTGCTCATGAATCAGTTCTCATGCCATTTGCCCCTCGCTTTTTCTCTTGTGTCCCTGGCAGTGGGAGAAACTACAGATGACGGCGAGCGAAAGGAGGAAGATCATGTGTTCAGTCACTTTCCACGTCATCGCCATCACCTGCGTCGTGTGGTCACTCTACGTTCTCATCGACAGAACAGCAGAAGAGATCAAACTAGGTCAGCGCAGAGTCAGACACACACACTCACAATAACAAAAGCACCATCCGGTTAGTCAGTTCTGTGTCCGACGTCATCCATTCATTCTCCGTCGGAAATATTTATATAGAGCACTGAAAGGCAGATCTGCATAACTTCTGTTATCTGGGTGACGTGAGCACTGTGTGAGTACTGTTCCCTAAGGTCACAGCTAAGACTGAACAAAGTTGTTCACCGATTGATATAGAGTTCATATCTTGTGTTTCAGTTTACTTGATAGTGATTTGTTATTCATATGTGTTTTTAAACTCCACAATGACAATGAGTCTATCAGAGTGAAGCTGAGTATGCAGTGATTTAATTTATTCAGGTTTTATGGATTTTAGATTTTTTGGTTTTTTTGTGTGGATTAGCTTTTGTTGAAAGGACAAAACTTGTGCACAGACACTGTGCTCGTGCACGCTCATGGATTGTCACGTTTATTATGATTACTGATTGAAAAGTACGACTATTACTATGTGAAAATTACTTTGTGTAGCAGTGTGCATGTTGGTGGCGAAAGCTAATACAAAAGCTGACAGGTAAACTTGGTTGTGTCAGACTTGAAGAAGCACCTAGGGGAACTGAACCTCTTTAATGTGGAGTCTGGGCAGCCTCTCGCATCCATTCAGGCCAAAATGAACAGCAGCACTTTGTTATGATGACTCTTGCTTCACTATGGGGGCTAAAGATGGAGAGGGCTGCTTAAATGATGAGTCGTTGGAGCATCCGCTGGCAGTAGGTCTGCTGTTACTCATCCATCCCTCCCCGGCATATTTGGTACTACTGAGACAGTTTACAGATGGAAGAGCAGGCTGTGCCTGTTTAGCCCAACCTGATGATTCAGACTTGTCAGCGTCCTTGAGGACTGTCGGGTTCAGTCACCATGGCAATGCTGAAGTTTTTTTTTTCTTTCCGTCATTCGTTTGCACACTAATCTGTGATCATATGAGTATAGCTTCACACACCTTGGTCATATTACAAAACTTATTATGTTTGACTGCATGATTATTTGTGCAACTTCAGTGTATGACTTTATTTCAATGCACATATTGCCTCTTTAGCAGTGTGTTTGTGTCTTTTGTAACTACTATACTTACGCTCTCTTTATTCTTGCAGCCGGAAGAATCCCAGGTAAAGATTTCAACTTTGGCCTTTTGACTTTGAAACTGTGTTTTCCCCGTCAGCCTTTCTCTATCCACTTCTTTTCCAACTGCACTTTACTCTCCTCTGCCTCCCGTTCACTATCTTGATATCAGGATAGAAACAAACGCTCTTCTCTCTGAAAGGCTGGTTATATTCACCTCACCTCACAGAGTGAATTGAAAGTCAAGGAACATGCTGTGCAGAACATGAAGTTTTGACATTTTTACTCTGAAATCTTCACATTTAATCTGTTAATACAGAGACTGACATATAATAACGTGCCCAACATCTCTTCTCAGCATGGTTTATGCTGATCACATTTTGTTTGCTTTGTTTGAATTGGTATTCTTTGCATCGAGTATGACACTGTTTTACTTTTTCATTCCACGTATCATCAAGATGTAAATTTGATCATCTCATCGCGGACTTCCATGTGTGTCATCTAATAGTAATTTTTTAGACAACATGAAAATACTGTTGGGTTATAGTAGAGTCAGGTAGATTGAATTGCCTCTTATTTTTTAGTTGATGTCTCAGCTTATCAAAAATATGTTTTCCAAAATTAGTTTTTAAAAAATCTATTGTAACAACCTCAGGCAAGCTTCGGGAAATCATATTGCTCATTACTTTAGTTTTTGCGTTAATCGTACTGTGGCTGTTTTTATTTTATTTTTGTATGTTTGCTTTTTCTTTTCTTTTTTGTTGGCCTGTTTGTAATTTTTCAGGTTTTTGGAGTTATGTCTTTATTGATGAAAGATTTGAACATTAAATGTTCCACACTGATATAAATGAAGAAGTATATTTTTTAATAGGATCAAAATGTATTATGATGCACAGTTGCACTGCTGTTTCCTTTTTCCAAATCATAGAACATCTCCACTGCATGGAGCTGGTCTAAAGATTTCAACAGGTTGACCGCTCTGATTGATTTTAAGTGAATCATTACATAGACAAAATTGAGCCAGAACAGATTTTAATTAAAAACTAAATTAGAAAAATGCTCAAAACATGTTACATTTTAACATTAACAGCATCTTTTGAAAACTGTCATGTTTGTGCTACATATATTGTGAAGCCAGCCTTCCGTCTGTTTTCCCTAAGTTTTTACCTCCTAAACTTGAGCACACATTAAGTCCACATCTTTTAGTCTATGCGGTTCCTTTCGGTTTTGTCTTGAAGCACCTTTTGTTTTTGCTGTCTGGTTTGACTCGTGCCCATGTCTCTCTTTTTGTTTCTTGTGTGTTCATCAGGAATCCTTGAATGGCCGTTCTGGACCAAGCTGGTGGTTGTGGCTATCGGCTTTACAGGTGGACTGGTTTTCATGTATGTCCAGTGCAAAGTCTACATCCATCTATGGAAGAGACTCAAGGCTTACAACCGGGTCATATATGTTCAGAACCGACCAGACACGTGTAAAAAGCTGGCGCTCGAGAAGCCGCCTCTTATGGAGCCGAGTCTGGAGAACAAGGAGGCACTGGCCCCCACCCAGTCAGATACAAACTCCTCCCAGTACACAGAGACAGAAGACTACAGCATGGAGGTGCTCCATGTCTGACACCCAGACCATTTCATTGGTTGTCCTGCTCATGTACACACAAACGGGCCCACAGTGAGGAGTAGCAGTCATGGAAATGCTTGGTGGCGTCAAACTCCCAATAGTCCCAGTCCAGCCCATTGTCTTTCTCTGACATGGTGTTTTTCTGTCCACTTGTGACGACTTGCTCCTCCTCTCATCCGATTCGTTGATCCTGCACCTGCATCTTTCCTTTCCTATGACCGGATTGTTCGTACTGACTTCTGTAAGTCTGCAGAGGCCCGGAGCATACAGACACTTTTATATGTGCACCCTCCAGATGAGAAGGACTACGAGACATAGACTTCAAATCAGCTCTCGAGGTTTACACATGTTTTTTTTTTTTTCTTTTCCTTTTGTTTTTTTTGCCGTATTAGAATTGTTTGTTCGTACTTTTTGGAAGACTTGGGCTAAGCTGGATCAACGTAGCACCATGCATTGTTATTCTGGGCCATTCCAGATACTGCCATCTTTGTCGCTGTGGTCTACCAGCTCCGCACTGGTTTTGGTCTGACCAGACCTCAATCTGGACATGCAACGAAGCACTTTTATTTTTCAGGCCCCAAACAGCACATCCCTTCCCCTTAATCTAGTTCCTATCTTTTTCTTTAGTATGGTGTAAACCTTGTATGATGTTAATGGGGGAGATCAGGTGGAAGCTTCCCTCAAATACACACACACTTTCAGATGTACCCCTCCCTTGGATGGCAAAAAAAAGGAATTGGGGTTAGTAAGGATGGAAGTGTGCTGACAGAGGCAAAAAGTATGAGTCCTGCTCAGCCACATGAATCCTCTGCCCCCAGCCTGGACTTTCTGAAGGCTTTGAGAATGTAATATTTTTTAAAAATGATACAAAATCAATTAAAACATTGTTGTTTTTTTTCTACTGGAAATGGGCAATTTGAAAATAATTTCCATGTCATGAGGTAATGCGAGTCTTTGGGTGTAAACAATGTTACTCTTGTTTATTTTGTTTTTTTTTCCTATCACGCAAATGACACAGTATTTACAGTGTGATGTTCTCTGTGCAGTTTTTAGAATGTTTATATGTTTTCTTGGTCATGGGACGGGCATGCCCTGAATAATCCACAGCTTCCTGTTTTCATTTTCCTCTTTCGGTCCACCTATTGAGAACAAATCGTACATTATTAGATCCGTAACAGACACCTATGATTTAGAAGAAATAAAAGTAATACAGCTTAAAAACATTTACCTCATTTTGCTCTCCAGATCAACAGTAGCATCCTCATAATGCATCATAGGGATTTTGTTTGTTTTACACACTTCAGCTAAGAGAATAAGAAGTGAGATGTTGTTTTTGGATGCTCCACATAGATGTTCAGGCAAGAAGATTCGCAGTGGTAGTCTTGTTTATTTTGTTTTCCAGACTCTCTCACATGGTTAAGGATGTCTATTTTAGTATTTCATTACAAGACAGCCAGCATGTTGCCTCTCCTTCGGCTCTCTGGCGACATGTCTGTCAAACAGTGACTTTTAAAGCGTTGTACTATTTTTACAGCAGGCCACTGAAATGGTCATCAGTCAAACGGAAACCTCCACAGATTTGCAGCCCATGATGGACATACTGTAGTTTTTTAATGAGCTGCCTACATCGCCACCTGCTGGTGTGTGACTGAAGGTGCAGTCTGGGACGGGCAGCGGTGGATTACTCAGGGTTATGCATTTGTGGGCTTACAGTCATTGTAAGTGCTTTTGTTTTTGTGGGAACACAGCAATGCCAGGCTCACGTTGAGTCTCTCAGCCATTCCAGCAGCACACACATTTTTAAAACTATCTTTGATACCAGTATACTGTCTGTGAACAATGATGGTCCAATGATATACCCGACGATTACTGCTCGGCAGCAGCAGCAATAATTAAAAACAGTGCTTTGTTTTTGTGCAAATGCATTCTGTGTTAATGTATATGCCCCATGGTGATTCGAGTTCTGCTGTCAGACATTGTTTTAATACCGTGGATGAGCCAAAGGAGTTGTGTGTCGTGTTGGATTAAGACCTACAACAAGAAGCTCCCCTGCAACTTCAGCACCCCGAGGCTCAGTGCAATTAGACAGATAAAAAGTGCAATTACCCTTTTGTTGTTATTCTACAGTTATCCTACAGTAACGTACTGGTGTCTATTGGCCAGGGTGTCCTCTGAATATAAAAAGATATTCTTTATTTTTGTGTTGTATTTATTTTTAACAGAAAACAGTACCATTTGTTCATTTAAAAAACACCTTACAGAAGCAGTTTTATGCAATTTACACTTTTCTCCCCCGGGCATGAAAAATAGAGATGTAGTTTTCGATTTGGATATTAGAGTTGTAAATGGCTAGACACCCAACCTTTATGTTGACATCTGCTCTTTGTTCTGACTTTTTAGATTGGTTATTGCACAATTTTTAGATGCGCAGCTGTAGCTAGAAACCACACGAATAATTTCCTGCACTTATTTTAGAAAAACAACTTTGAACAAAGGCACAGTTTCCCAAATATGGAGTATTAGATATTAATGTTTTTTTTATTATTATTAGTTTCTGTTCACAGGAGCTGGCTCCTTCATTGAAGTCTGAGGTTTTGATGTAGTTGTGATAACGAATGGGGCTGCCTTAGGATGCAATTCCTCTCTTAAGTGAAGCCTTTTTCCATTTTCCTCTCATTCCACTTGTTTCCAAGACTTGTGTTAAACTTGGACTTACAGAAGAAAAAAAATCTTTGGAAGATCTGCACATGCCAAGTTTATCATCTACTTGTCTCAATCTGTATCTGTGAAACTGAGCCTTTTTGTCTGTCAGCGTCCACTGATCTGAAGTTGCTTTCTCAGTATTTTAGGCAGAACTTTAGATTTTCCCTTTCCTCGATCCCTTCGGATTTGATCATATCTGGGACCAGTGTAACTTGCATAAAAACTACATTTGTTTACTACTGACTGGACTTGAACATATATGACTGTTCCCCTGTCTTATATCATTCCACAAGTTTGTCTGTGAATTTACTTTGAGGTAGTAATCGTAAAAGAATTTGGTAAAAGTACTTCTGTTTTTAAGAGAACTATTGATGTGTTTTCAGTTAATATTCCATGTTTGAACAAATATGTAGAAATGAAAAGAACCACCAAATAAAAATTAAGTTACTTTTAACTCTTTGGATTTTTTTCTTTAAAGGATTTGTTGTTTCTTTTAAATACATGTTGGAAATGATTGATTATAGAACAATGATAGATTTGGAATTGAATTTGAATTGAATTTGAAAACTGGAAAGAGTGACATACTTCTGATAGGGTGGATTCCAGCCCAGATTAAAAGTTTAAGGGAAAATGTTTAAGGTTAAATCTTGTTGAGCTATATTTTTTCAGTCAGCGTTTGTCTAAACACACAGAATGATGTTGATTCCATATGAATTAATTTAAGATTTTTTTTTTTTAAAAAGCCCAGTTTCTATTCATTTTGCAAACTCAGTTCATTGCTTCTAGTAATCAGTTTTCAACTGAATTTTGGTTGAAATAAAACAAAAATGAAACCTTGATGCATGGCAAAAAAGTTCAACTTCTTGCCAATGTCACCATTCACTTAAGATGTTCACAAAGCAGCTTTATTTTGTTGGGTCAGGGAAGAAAAAAAAATCAGATGTGCCACAAAATCATTTTATGTTACAAATGAACATTCTACTTTGTCAAATATATTAGAAAAGCAAATGGAAAGGAAGAAAATCCTTGTATTTAACAGCTTCTTTTGTTTTAGCTGAAGAAAAATTCTATCATAAACTAAAAAATAATGTGGTTGTACTTCAACAAAAATATTCCTTTTTCTTTTTTTTATTCAGTTAGTCTCTAGCTTTCCAGAATCTTTTTTTCTCCTCACAAATTCAAAATAATAAATTTACACGATCAATAAGAAAATGACAATTTTCTGTTTTTCCCACTGAGCTCATATGAGAATTGGTGTTCTGCTCCGTGGCAGAACGCGACACAATTTTGAGAAATAACCTCAACAAGACCTAATTCTCCTTTAAACTGATGGAATTTGAAAAGGTTTTAAAATGAAATCAAGAGCTGTGCGTTTACTGTTAGTGGTAATGTCTTCCTTCTCCACTGGTCCTTTACCTGACGACAACTGTGGACGTTTGCATGTTTTCTTCAGGCAGCCGTCATGACATGCTGCTGACAGAAGCTCCATCATCTCCTTGTCTATTTCAAACTGGTGACTCATCACTGAATCTTCTTTTCATCCCACCATGCACGCTACATGACTATTTATGCCCACAGCAATCTTCTTTTCATCTGTTATCCTCACCTGGTTTCTTACAGCTCGGTCACAAACACCGACTCCTGTCTCTTCCCCATAGCTTTTCATTATCTGTTGTCAGGCGTATCGCTCTGTGGATTTCTGCCCTCAATCAATCTGAGATCCTCTTTGGTCCACCAATATGTTTCCCTTTTACAACTGTTCCATTTAGACCCCGCTCACGGGAGGAAAAAAACATCCTACACGCAGTGCTTTTTTCTTTTTTTTTACCTTGTGGAATGAATTCTGTAATAATTTGAGCCATGCAAATTACAAGAGGATTAATTTTTTCTACCCTCAGATCTCAAAGGAAAGCCTGAATGCTCAAAAAGGTCCACAACATACTCATTAAAAGAGTACCAAACAACACAACACGCGCACACATTTGAAAAGATCCTTCCAAAGAGAAATAATAATCTCCTACTCTGGTGACAGTTTCCTGAAAGCATATCTGAACATCAAAATCATTTTTGTAGGATGTAGCCAGGGTAGAGTGTGTTTTGCTCCTCAAACTGCAACACTGTTTGGGATTTTGTCAGGGGACATGTAGTAGTATGGCAGCTTCTTCCCCTCGTTCCTCCTCCTGATGGAGCTGCTTATCTCTCCAAGCTCCTTTCTGAACTTCTCCATGGCTGTTTTGACAGGCTTCTCTATGAAGTGTTCATCAGGATACATGCCCAGGAACAGCTGCAGGGCGAGAGACAAAGCAGGTCATTCAGCCTGCAGGCCAACATATATTTGTTTGCATTATACCCATGAGTAACCCAGTCAAAAGTGAGTTGTGGAGGAGTTTGAATGGGTTTGTGTACTCTTTACCTCACTGTCCTGGTACTGGCTGAGGGCCCAGACAGCTCCCAGATGCCAGCTTGAGCGTCCGCGATCGGGGAGGCTCTCCATAATCAACTCCACAGTTGCTAAGCCCTTTTTCCGAGGAGGGGGTTTCCGCATGGTAGATGGCGCATTTGGGATCCAGGAACACCAGTCGTACTACCAAAATCCACAAAAAAGATTTATATTTCTTTTAACTGTAACCCAGCATATGTTCAGTCTTTCATATCTTGCTAAAAATTTAAGTATACCCAGCATTTTCTTATAAGTTCAACTTTTCTACTGAACCAATAGTACAAGCATGTAAATAACAAATGTGTCTCCCAACAACCTACCTGTCCAAAGTTAACCGCTGCATGCTGGGCTGAAGCAGTGAATATGACAACCGTCAGGTACTCTATCAGCTCCTCACGCCGTTTGACAGACTTTGGAAATCCTGTGCATAGATTTTACCACAAGTTGACAAAGTGGGGTTAGATATTTACAAAGTCGCCTTCCTGTTTTGCAAGCATCGTTGTGACAGGCATCCTTGCACAAATGATGGAGAAAGGCAGCAGTGGCAGAACGTGTACCCACCACAGTGATCGAAGTCCTGCATTCCGAAGCTGCACACATCCTTAATGAAAGCCTGGATTTCCTCATCTTCCTGCACTTTCTCATCACTGGTGTAGTAAATAAACACCACGTCGGACACAAAGCTGAAAGGTAAACAGTCGAAAACACAGAGAATAGATTTGGGGTTTGTTTAGGCTATTCTGCTGGTAACTCTTCATAAGTGGCCCTGCCTAGAAAAGCTCCACAGAGTTGCTCCTCACCTCTTGGTAGCCTCCCACACCTTGTACCCATCATCCCTGTAGAAGTAGGTGGGCAGCTCCTCCTTGCTGTCTACGCCGCGGCTCTTGATCAGATCAGGGAAGCAGAGGGACCTGAAGGTCAGAAACTTCATGGCTTTCTGGACCAGCTGGACATGACCTCCTCCACCTGTTGCATTTGCCTGATGAGGGATAAACACTCATTATTCATGCTGCTAATAAATGTCATTTTACTACCGACTGCAGACATGCCAGATATAATCAGTTTCTTCTTTTTGTGTGGTTCAGTGTGGTTTCATTTTAAAATGAACACTTTATTAGTCTTAATGTCTAATAAAAGCTTGTTATCCTTAAACTTTAGAGGAATATTAGGTCCATCTTAAACTGTCATGCGATTTTTTCAAACCTTAAATGTCAGTAATATTCCACAATGTTTCATTGAAAACAAGTAATTCATTTGTAGATTAATTCAGATACATTCAGGACATTCAGGAGGGGGTCCTTCTGACATAAAAATGTCCTGAAATCATTTGTTGAAACTATTGGTGCACTGGTCACAGGACAGCCTGCCTCCAGTGATGGGACAATGTGACCTGAATCACACCAGATAATTCTGATTCAAAATTCCATTTAACTCAATTTCAAGACACAAAGTCTGTCACCACTGAACTAAAACACTGCTGAATATGAATGAACTGAAAGTGTCATAGGAAAATGGGCTGATATTGAATAATTCAACCATGACAAAGTAATTTAGTCCTTCCAGGCACCACAGTACGATGTGGTCAAAGGGTCTCTAACATTATCATTTAGACTCTTATGCTCTCTGTAATCTCTCTTTTTTTTTAGAAATTCCATTTCCTCCTGCAGTTATCCAGAAACTGACCTTGTCAAAGATTCCATGTTCACAGATCAGCTGCTCTCTGGCCTTGGTGTTTATGGCAATGGTGAAACGGATGTGCGGAATGAGCAGCTAGGCAAGCAAACAAATGAATTATTCAATTGATCGATTTATCAATTAAATAGTCAACTTTTTTTAAATGAATTTTTTTACCTTATACACAGGGTGAACTGCTGGAAGCTGTCTGTACATTGCAATAGCAAAGACCTCTGTCATCAGATGAGTCCTGAGCAGGTGTGTGACAGTCTGGTGGTACTGGAAGTCAGCTGAGCGCACCCAGATCTTAGCCAGCAGCCAGTCATAGTGACTATCAGTGGGAAGGAAGATTGGATTCTCATCTGGAATCTGGTCAAGCTGACAGAAGGACACAGGTACGTTTCAGCTATACTGAAATGTCCTTTAGAAATGGAAGCTGTTCCTAACAGTTGTCATGGCTCGACATCACTATACCTGTATGGCTATGGGCAAGATCTTTTTCTGAGTGTTCTTGTACAGGAGACAGATTGGAGCAGCCAGGAACTGCAGGGTGCACGGGTCTGTGCAGTTTGCCTTAATGCCATCTAAGACCTCGTAGTCTGCTATGTAGACATTGCCTGCCTAGAACAAGAATAGCATCAGTCAGATTATCAAAGAGAAACACAAATGTTATGCTAGAAAACATAAAGCTGACTTCTATCTGTGTAACGAAATGCAAAGTGAAACAGATTCACAAAACAAAAACTGTATTTGTCTACCTCAATTTCCTGCTCCAGAGACAGCCCTCTCTCCAGGCTAACAGACACCATCTCATCAGTGACAGGAAACTTATCAGGAAGCTTGGTGCACTTCTGTATCACCACCGGGTTGCAACCATTCAGGAACTGGTATCCAAACATGAAGTCCTCTTTCCAGTGCTGCATCACATACTCTGCATAATATAATACAATACAATATAACATAACATAACATAACGTAACATAACATAACATAACATAACATAACATAACATAACATAACATAACATAACATAACATAACATAACATAACATAA